ACTGGACTCTAATTTTGTTCTACTGCTTCTACTGGCTCTACTCTGCATTCTGAAGGCGTGTGCAAGCATACAAAAAGCTGATACCCAGAATAAATCTTTGCTGGTCTTAAAGGTGTCACTGGACTCCAACTTCCTTCTGTTGCTTCAGACCAATGCAGCTACCCAGCTGAATGTATCGTCATGGAAGGCTGCACATTAAGCCACATGGAATGGATATCCATCAGCCTCATGACAAATCTTGCATGGGTACGGACTGATATTTCCTTTCTTAAAAGGTTCCCTTGCTCGAAAGCCAGTCGAATCCGACTCTAGGGTTGCGGTGCTCATCTCCGTTTCAAAGCCGAAGAGCCAGCGCTGTCCGAAGACGTTTTCCGTGGTCATGTGGCCGGCATGACTAAACACCAAGGCACACGGAACGCTGTTACCTTCCCACCGAAGTGGTACCTATTTATCTACTTGCAATTTCTTGCTTTTGAACTGCTAGGTTGGCAGGAGCTGGAACTAGAGACGGGAGCTCACTCCGTCATGCGGCACACTCGGGTCTCGAACTGCTGAACTACCGACCTTTCACAGCCTGCAGTTCAGTGTCTTAACCACTTGATCCACCTTTCTTACAGAATGCAAAAACCTGGAGGTATCTGAAGAAGTCTGCGCACGCACAAAAGCTTATACTCGGAATAAAACTTTGCTGGCCTTTGAGCTGCCACTGGACTCAGAGTTTATTCTTTCACCTGACCATTGTTCGGGTTGTTCTTTGCAACCTCCTGGCCGAGCCCATGGCAAAGGAGAGCCAACCCCCGCACCACCCCTTACCTGGCTTGGCAGAGGCCACCGCTCCCCCCGCGTTGCAATGCTAAGTCGCAGAGTGTGGTCTGCAAAAGCGAGGAGGGCTCCACAGCCGCCTCTGGGCAGGGTTTGCTCTCGGCGGCTGTCTTTCCCGGCTGCTCCCAGGCGGCCTTATCGCTCACATTTATAGACGAGGCCCTTGTCAGTCAAATGACAATGGAGGCAGATCCTTACAAGAACCAGCTGCAGCATCAAAGCCCAGAAAGCTAGGAAGCGAAGCTCATCTCTCCCGAATTGTTTTTGAAACTTCGGGGGTATTGTCTCTTGGAACTATCACCTGACTGGAACAGAAGTGGCAGGTCTGCAGAACTCCGGATGAGGAAAGGATGAGCACGCCACTAGATCTCCCCCACCCCCCACATCTCCTCCCGTGGTATTTTCGACCCTCTGCAGTGAGAATTGTATCCAGTCAGCTTCTTGGGTATCCGTTCTCCAGGAGACAAAGCACTGAGCCACAAAGACAAAAGGGAGAATCCACAAACAGAACACTTTGACTCTCTCTCTCTCTCTCTTGGCTCTTTTTAAGCAATGGATATCTTGTGTTGGGAATCTTCTTTCTAACTGTGCAAAGTGTCACCAAGTAATGGCTTGCTGTAGTTACTGCCTCTCTGTAACATTTAAGATGGGCGGTCGTGTTAGTCTTGTTAGATTCACTGGTATGGTATAGCCAGGGATCTCGATTAGGTAGCAGGGTGCACTAGGCTTACACGCAGCAGCAGCTTCTGGGTATTGTGTGCACTAGCACAGTTACAAAGTCACATGGAGACTTTTGTCAGTTTCAAAATTAATAAGAGTCCTTTATTCAGGGAACTCCATTCTCGATAGTATAGATGAGAGATAGGCAAGGAATCTGATCTAACTAGCTAGGATGGATGCAGATGGAGAATGCAGGTCCTACATCCATGGTGGACAAAGATGGAGAGCGTGCTCCTTCTTTGTGTGTGAAAGAGAATATAAAGTTGGAAGAAAGGAAGTCTTGTCCCTAAGAATAGCATTCTACTTCAAAGGGATGCTATCATATAGCAGGAAGGAAAGGATGCTCTATGAGTTCTGACCTCTCTCTCTGTCTCTAAATCTCTGGTGCCGCCTCTGAAGTCTGAGGCAGGAGACAGTGTGCACTCCTCTACTTCCAACCAGTCTGTCTGTAGCAGTAGAAAAGAGTAAGAGTCCAGTAGCACCTGGACTGGTGTCTGAAGAAGTGAGCAGTGACTCACAAAACTTCATACCCTACGACAAATTTTGTTAGTCTTGAAGGTGCTACTGGACTCTTGCTCTTTTCTTCTGTAATGTTTGACTTTCTTTAAGAAAAAATTATATGTATAATGAATACCCTGGTGCTGGGACCCTATAAGCAGGGCTGGCCCTGGTCAGCACTTGGATGGGAGACCACCAAGGAAGTCCAGGGTTGCTATGCAGAGAGAGGCAATGGCAAACCACCTCTGTTCCTCTCTTGCCTTGAAAACCCTGCGGGTTTGGCCTGAGTCAGCAGCAACGTGACAGCATTGTCCACCACAGTGAATATCCCATGGAATAGAAGCAATCCTACAGAAGGCTGACAAGAAATAGCTTGGTCTAGCCAGTGGGGCTGAATCCTACCAACTTTCCCACTGATTAAGAAGGAAGGAAGTGTCCAGTGTTCCCTCTAAGCTGAGTTAGTGTGATCTGGCTCACATTTTTCCAGCCTCCGGCTCACACATTTGTGTCTTCGCTCGGGAAAGATGGCTCCAGAGTCCAGAGCAAACTGATTTATGCAGCAGCCAAATGGCTCGCTCACAACTTTAATGCCAGGCGCTCAAAAAGTAGAATTGTTGCTCACAAGACTCCACAGCTTAGAGGGAGCATTGGAAGTGTCCCCTTTAACTACCCAAAAAGAGCCAGTTTGGTGTAGTGATTAAGTGCGTGGACTCTAATCTGGAAGAACTGGGTCTGATTCCCCACTCCTCCACTCGCACCTGCTGGGTGACCTTGGGTCAGTTACAAGTTCTTTCAGAGCTGTTCTTGAAAAAGAGCAGCTTCTGCCAGAGCTCTCTCAGCCCCACCTACCTCACAGGGTGTCTGTTATGGGGAGGGGAAGGGAAAGGAGATTGTAAGCTGCTCTGAGACACCTTTGAGTAGTGAAGGGCAGGGTATAAATCCAATTTCTTCTTCTTCTTCTTCTTCTGCAGAAGGGGGGCTCTTGCAGTTAGTAAAATGTAACTTTACTAACTGCCCCTGCTCTGTCACTTTTTGTTCCCTAGTTAGGAATCCCTGCCTCTAGGTAGGACCTGGGGACCC